AAAAAATGTCACAATATGTGACGAAACCCAATATATAAATAACCAAATAAATGCCTTACAAAAAACTCAAATATTGTTAAAAAGTGGACATGATGTTGTAGTTAGTCACACATTGTTATTTACAATGATTGATGGAAAGATATGTAATGCTGTAACAAATACAGCTTCAACGATGCGCTGCTATTTGTTTAGTAAAACATCAAAAGATTTCAACAGCCTATCGGACAAGAAAGATGTAAACCCAGCATCACTACAACTAGAGATATCTGTCCTTCATGCAAAGATACGCATGTTCGAGTACATTCTTCACCTATCATATACAATTCCAATCCTAAAATGGCAAGCAAGGTCTAATGAAGATAAAAAAATTATAAAAGAGACGAAAAAAAATATTCCAAAAAAATTTTGAAAGGAAATGGGCCTCCTTGTCGACATTAGAAAAGCAGGTTTGGGAAATACCAATGATGGAAACACTGCTAGGAGATTTTTTCAGGACCCAGCATTGACCAGCCAAATTACCGGAGTAGACAAAACGTTGATTGACAGGTTAAAAATAATATTGGAGGCCATACGCAGCGGATTAAAATTGATATTTGTGAATTCGAAAAATATGCCATACAAACAACTAAATGGTACATAAGTTTATACAGCTGGCATCCGATGACACCAACTATGCACAAAATTTTAGTGCATGGTTCAGATATCATTTCGCATGCTTTGTTACCGATTGGACAACTTTCGGAGGAGACTGTTGAAGCCAGAAATAAATATTTTCGAGCATATCGGCAAGGTTTTGCAAGAAAATTTTCACGAGAGATGTGCAATAAAGACATTATGAATCGATTACTGCTAAGTTCCGATCCTCTGTTAAGTATACGTTACAAAAAAAATCATCGAAGCCTTTTTCCAAAGAAACGATTCAACTCTTTCTACCATCATCATCTAGAATAACCTCAACACAAGAAAGTTTCCATAGAACACGATTCTTCTGAGAATAGCTCATGTAACGAGTTCGATTAACTTATTAGGACTACATTTATGGTACAACAATTTTAGTTTATTTCAATTTGTTTGGTTCATAGATTGTTAAAGGGTTATTGTTTTCAAAAAATGAAAAAATGCGTAAAAATATTCATAATCCACCTTTTCGTACTCCAGGTCACAAATTTATGCATTAATAAAATTTACATTCAATTGCTATAATTTTTAGTTATATTTACACTGTTCAATTTTAAAACAAGGTTTCTACAGATAACGTTGATAAGTACTTTTTTATGGAGAGAAGTTTGTCAACTTCTTGAATTTCGAGATACGTTGCATGATACTGATCATGTCTATAACACTCTTAGAAAAGTTGTAAAATCTTGTAATTTTGGATAAATCAAAAGATCGAAAACTGAAGCAGTAAAGAAAAATATAGATAGAAAAGAAATCAAAAGGAGGAGAACATCAAGATATCATCCAAAGAATCTTCAGAAGCAGAAAAGAAATATTTCTGCTTTATCTGCGTATACCGAAAGCAAAACAGGTGAAAAGTGAATACGCTGCTCAAGTTGTAAAATTTTGGCTCACGAACACTGTACTGCTACTAGTATCATTTTTCACATAATACCTGCAGTACCTACACATTGTGAATCAGAATAATTTTCAGTTTTAGTTCTATCGATCTACAAATCTACATTTTTATAACAGTCTGTCCTACTTAAATCTTCTTAGGAAAACCATAAAATGTCACCAAAAATTGGCTTCTGATCTTCCATCGAAAACATCGACGAAATATGTGCCTAACATCAACTTCTTCTTTATTAAAAGTAAGTAAAACACAACAAAAATATCGCAATCGTTACCAACGCCCCACCGATTGGGTTTTCACATATGATGTTGATAAATACTTTTTTATAGAGCTGTTATACAACTTTTTGAATTTCTTGATACGTTGTATGACACTGGCCACGGCTACAACACTTTTAAAAAAGTCGTAAAAACTTCTAACTTCGGATAAAGTCTTTTTCCGGTTGCTGCAACAATTACTGCATCATCATGCATTGTAGAAAACAACACATTCTTTGGAAATTCTTTTCTACAAGCCGGTTTTTTGCCTACACCCTCCACCGAGTAGCTAGATAGAGCCTACATCTCACTCTGATTAGTCGCTCGTACATTTATCGCTCGCCTCCAACTATATTCAAAATTCAACCACATCTAGAAACGTTCTATCAAAATAGCTGAAGGGTCACGTTTTCAGAGAGAATCCACCGATTTCTTTACAGAAATGTTGTTAGTTTCGATGGCTTCTATCGAAACTATATCGATTATTTATATCATAAGTTTTAAAATTACGACCAATGTATTAAATTTAGACTAGTTTAGCCACGGACGAGATGAGTCACAAGATCCAATAGTTTGTAAGAAAAACCAAAATAAACCACTCTGTCCATTTAAAACTGCCAGAAGAAAGGTTATAAGAACATACTTTGTATGGTCTACGAAAATTGGGTGATGAACCTGGAAACAGGACTGACTAATTCTTTTATAATCCACGACACTTTAGCACATAAGCTGGGTTTTTGCTTGCGTAGATCCTCAAAAAATTTCTAGTCAATAGTTATATCTACGCCAATAAGTTTACCTCTGATTGGTTACTTTCACGTCCCTGCTATTTAACCACATCTAGAAACGTTTCAGGAATGTAGCTGAAAGATTACTTTTTTACAAGAATCCATCAATTATTTGCTGATTGACTGATTGCCGTTAATATAAGTTCGACTTATGATTAGTTTATTATCCTTTTCGTATGCCTAATCTACAATACGATTTCTCCTTATCACTTCTAGTTATCCACTGTTATTATCCATCCTTTTTGCGATCTTTACCTAGTGTCAAAAAAGTTTGAACCAGATCTACTACCTAGTACTCAACTGTTTAAATTTGCAAATCGATGTCTTCAAACCCTCATCGACAGCAGTACAACCCGATTCATTTACAGCACAAGCTAGTTATAGCTAGCTTAGTATGTTCTATTAACCGCAAAATGTATAGATTTCTAAGAGTATACTAACGAAGAAATGCGAAGAAACACTCTGCCCACCCAATGTTAAAGCAATCGCCCAAGTATTAGGTATTACATGACCTAAGAGTTTTCAGATTTTTTTATAGTTAATTATCGAATCTAATAAATAAAAGAAATTGACGGATATGTTCAACAACAATTTTTTTTGTTTGCTTTAATCAATTAGTGCTGTTATTCGAAAATAGTTGTTAAAGCTTTAAACAAAACTATTTAACACTTGTAAGACATTTATATTTATACTGGAATTGCTGATTAAATGAGGTTCATATATTATTTGGCGGTATATTATTAAGACGGTATATTTACACTTTATTTGCACTTTTGCTTAACCCTCCACACCGCTAAGTATCATGTGTTCCATATGCTAATAAAAAGATATTTTAATAAAAGGGTGAACATTTTATTCCAAATTTCATCCCTTATAACTCGGCCCAGGAGCTTTTTCCGTACGTTAAAAAAATACGTCAACCTTATTTTGTGTTTTCTAGGACTGTGCTAAGTTTCATTAGAACCTGTGTCACACTAAAACTTAAATGCACTAATTTATATATTTTTTGTGTAAAGTAACACATAAAATTTCTACTTTATCCAGTTATTAAATAATATCAGGATTAAAATCAATTATTGCAATAATCTTCGAGTTTTTGCCACTGTTTTGCATCACTCTGAGTCATCTTACATTAAGTACCTAAAAGAGTAATGCAAAAAAATACCAGTTAATTGCCATTGGCTTAATTGATTCCAATTTTGTGCGGTTACTGCAATGACTATTTTACAAAACTTTTAAGCATTCTTGCAATGATTGTTCTTTATAGACTTCTTTCATGTGAGAAAGAAATCTTAATTTTTAAATTAGAAACTCGCATAAAGTTGTAAACGTATGATAAGCATTTTCTTCAATTTTTCTTTAAGTTTGTGGATTTAGCTGTAAGTGATCCATAACGCAAATTTCAACGCAAACTCACTAAAACATTACAACATTACAATTTCCGTTAACAGTGATACACATATAAAATATATCTCAGTCATCTCGACGTTTATGTAGCGCTCCATATTTTAACGAGCTTCACCAACGAAAGTTTAATTATCAACGTAAACAACGAAACGCAATTAACTTTAACACTTTTCACTGAGACGAATTAATAAGATCCAAATGGAAATGTAATCAACAAGATGACAATGTACTTAACAGGCTCAATTCTGTACACAATAGATTTAGTTAGGCTACATTAATTTCGCACCAATGCGTTATTCCGAAAATTATCAATAAAATATGTTAAAATAGCAATGAACGCCTCCCGCTTTTCTTTGATTTTTGACAATATTTATTAAACAAGATGATTCCTGGAGGTGAAATGACAGCAGCAGATGTAATATGTAGTTTTTCTCCTGTTACGTTTTGCTATATTTATTAATATGTCTTTAACGAGATGTAAATAATGTGGTTGTTAAAATTTGATTTAACCTATATATTGTTAATTAAATACATTAATATTTACTCAAAAAGCTTTCAAGTTTATTTACCACTTTGATCTAAACATCTACTTAGAATTTGAAGTATTTTAAAGCCTCTTATCGTAGTTGAAGAGTAAAAAATAAATTTTACCACCGGACTCAACTTTGATCGACCACTTAATTTTAGACGGTCGTTTTTTAAAATTTCATTAATTTGCATGAACTCGACTCCGACTGCCTGCTGGTAAATTGGAGGGCCCCGCAGGACCGATAAAACTTCTGACTGTTGCCGCAGGAACTTTCCCAGCAGGCACCAGACGTTTGATATTTCCCAGTTTCCGGGTTACGTTGACACATATTTGAAATTTTTTTTTTACTTCACAAAAGGCGAAAAAGAGCCAAGATTAAGTGAACAAAAGTGTGAAGCAAAGAGAAGTAGATTTAACATAAAAAAAGTATTTGGATAAAAACTCACCTTGTCCTCTTCAAGCGAGTCACCTTTAAACAGTTTATATTCACCTTCACAAGTTGATAAAAACAATTTCTTTTAAGATTTTAATATGACAAGTTCGATTTATTTTAATCAATCCACAACATAACTTATTTTCTCTTAATAAAAATCTTACATCATTTTTTTAAGCACAAATCAAAAATTCAATTTTTCGAATAAAAAGCAAATTTAATTTTTCAAAAACATTATCAAATCGAATTTTTATCTCAATTTTTTTTTAAATAATCCACACAGTTGATGTCCTGTTGTTAAGCGGGAAAATTGGTTTTCAAAACAAGTCACATGCCCCCGAAGCGCACCACTAAGAGCGTCGGCGTCGCGACGTTCGCGATGTTGGACGCGTACTGAGAGAGGAAGCGTCGCGGCGCTCGGCGTCCTCGTCCACAGTTTTCCGCGCGCATATTCTGGTTGAAGACGCGACGGACGCCGCAAAACCGCAAACATGTTCACGCATGTTACCACGCGCGTTGATGTAGACGCCCACCGGTTTAAATATAGTTTTTAAAAGAAAAAGAAAACCGGAAGTGTATTACACAACAAACTAGATTTTAAACTTTGCGAAATGATTAAATTAATAATATTAATTCGAATTAAAATAAAAAATTAAAACAATCTAACTTTCAACTTATTACTTCAACTGGCGAAATCAAACTGTGAAACTTGCTTTAAGGAAAAGGTGGGCAAAAAATGATTTCAAAAGTGTGAATACGAAGGCAGATGTTGATAAAAAAACTGGTCTTTTCGCGAGTGCGGGAAGTTAGCCCCCCTCTTTCCTTGATTTTTAAATTTTTCATTGTTGTTCTAAAGTTGTTCTACATTGTTCCAAAGCGGCAAATAGAAAAAATATAAACTCGCAGAGAAAAACCGAAAAAACGGGATTTTTGGCTAGCCACGCATTTTTGGAAAAATCAAATTTTCTTTGTTGTTCTGGGTTGTTCTAGTTATTGTTCTAGAAAATCAAAATTATGGAATACATCATTACGAAGTTATAACTAAAAATAGGTTTGGCTGCCAAAATGTCTAATTGCTGTGACCATAGTTTTTCTATTTTCAATTCCATATTACAAATATATACTTATTATATCTAAATATCTAATCTGGAACAGGTATTATTTTCAGTAGAACAAATCTATAAAGGACACTTTACTCTTTGAAAATTAAAGTTGTTGGAAGTTTCAGTCGGTAATTCTTGCGTCAATGGTTTTAAATTACACAACAAGGATTAAAACACATAGAACAATCTAAAATAACTCAAACTTTGCTGATTCAAATTGTTCTAGATGTGTTTTACGTTTAAACTCGTGGAAAAAAAGGTTTTTCTTGTAACACGGACATTAGTTTTACAAAATCATGTCTTCTTAAAAATACAGCAACATGCAGACCTAACAAGAAAAATAATAAATCAACAAATGAATAATCCAACTATTCGATCAACAAACGAAAATACACTATTTGTATTATACAATATGTATTAAAAACTAAATATCTGTGTCCCACCCACACAGAGATATACTTATATATACTATACATATATTTATTATACAGGGAGTCAGAAAGAATGGGAAATCCGAATACCGGAGATACTAGACACCAAAATATGATGATTTAACGTAACATCTCTTATACAAATGTCAGTGGTTTTCGAGGCATAGGGTGTTGAAAGTTAAATTCTTATTTCGAAATTTCTTGATAATTTTGAAGGTTTTTGTACTATTAACATAAAATTTGGTAGTTTTATGTTTTCGAGCATGAGAAATACGAATTTGAAACTTGTTTTGTTATTGCTCGTAGAGGGCGCTAGATACACGCTGCTCGTTTGATAAATCAAATCATAAGTTTTTTGGCTCGACAGCTACGACCAATAAGAGCTGCAAATCACAAAGAGCATTCAATTTTACATAAAAAAGGTACTCTTATTGAAATTGTCTAAGTCTATCGGTTTTCGAATTATTTACTTTTAAATGTTTAAATGTATTTTTTCTTCTAAAATATTTATTTTTTAACATAAGCAAAGTTGGGTTATTTTTCCGCTTATGTTTCGACAATTGCCTGTTAATTGTCAACATTGATCTAATTTCCGTGTGCAATAATCATTTTTACCAACAATAAAGTTATTACCAATTTGAAAATGCCACGACATAATGAGTTTTTTAATAGTGAGAAATCCAGATTTAAGTCCACTGGATTTTTGAAAATGGTCACAATATTCTATTGTTATTAATTAATTGTTATTGTTATCGATTATTATCGTTACTAATTGCTATAGTTACTGTGTGTTATTGATTTTAAATGTTAACCTTAAAATTACTTTGAAACAATTAAAAGCAGATAACTTGGAAACCAGTAGACTTAGACAATGTAAGCAAGAGTACCTTTTTTGTGCAGAATTGAAAACTCCTTCAGATTTCTGGTTCTAATTCACCATACCTCAACTGACAAAATAAGTCATGACTTGATATCTCAAACGTACAGTGTGTATCTAGCGCCCTCTACAAGTAATCACAAACCAAATATCAAATTCGTATTTCTCATGGTCGAAAACATCTAACTACCAAATTTTATGTTAATAGTACAAAAATCTTCAAAATTATCAAGAAATTTCGAAATAAAAATTTAACTTTCAACACCCTGCGTATTAAAAACCACCGACATTTGCATAAGACATGTTAGGTTAAATCGTCATATTTTGGTGTCTTGTGTCTCCGGTATTCGGATTTCCCATTCTTTCTGACTCACCCTGTATAATTATATACCCTACTCAAAAAACTTAAGGGAACACTTTTTGAAATCTGCAACATTTTAAATAATAGTTCTAGACAAATCAAATTTGGTTTACTTCAACGGCATACATTTAACTAAAGAAAATCACAAAAACAATATTACTACTCTTAGTTACTTCTAAGTTACACTTAAAAATGTAAAGTAATAACTCAAAACAATGTGGAAAAATGTCAAGTATGCTTTGAATTCGCGCAAGAAAGCCTACTAAAGTTGACAAATAAATTCAGTTGTCAATTTTCGAGCACATGAAATATAAATTTCTGATCAAACTGTTAGAAACAGATTAAAAGAAGCGAATTTGAAAGCTAGAAGACCTGTCCGCGAACCATGCCTTACGCAGCATCACAAAGCAGCGCGAATGAGGTTTCCTACACGTCCTATTCAATTGAGATAGCAAAATAGCAGTAGCTAACCATGGCAACCAACGGTTTCAGATATCAAAAATTAATCATTGTCTTAATAAAGTATCTGAAACAACTGGTTGCCATGATTACGTATGGCTACTGCTATTTTTCTACCTCAAATGATCATGACACTTCAAGGCAATATTTCTCGAAAATTTTATTATGTAGCTAATATTAATTTTGGCGGTACCAAATTCAGGAAAAAATTCTCTTTCATATTCCATAATAAAAATGGGGATCGCTATTTGAAAAAAATAGCGATGACGGCATAACTTGTTTAACAGCTTCCAAAAATGGGAGGCTAGTCAAAAAAAAACCGTTTTTTCGGTTTTTCTCGACGAGTTTTTTTTTCTATTTGCCGCTTTGGAACAATGTAGAACAATCTAGAACAACAATGAAAAATTTAAAAATCAAAAAATGGGGGGCACTCTCTTTTCGCGTTTCTGAATTCAACGAAAAATATATTGTACAAAATTTATACGAAATTTCCAATTTAAACAAATAATTTTAAATACAAAATTTGCTTCCAACAATTTGAACTAAATTCATGAATAGATTTTAAGATAAAGATAATTAAATTTTTATCTTACTCGATTGTTTGGCAGTATAAAATCTTTTTGTTGGTAATTTTAGAGATGTTGCACTAAAAATATTAATAATTCACAAGAAATTTAACACCGAACAGGATGCAGAAATAGAGAAACACGTAACTGAGTATTAAATCATAAAGTGAATTTTAACCTTTGATAAATGAATAAGTTAATTAAAATAGGAACAATTAAAAAGTTAAATATGATACGCATTTTAAAATTTCACTTTTTTTATGTTTTAAAACGATCTTAACACTAAACTTGTTATTTCGCCCGACGAAAGCAAACTGAGAAACTTGCTTTAAGGAACTTGTCTATGGAAATGGTCAACAAAAAATGTGTTGAAAAGTGTGAATACAGGGAAGATGTTGATAGAAAAACTGGTCTTTTCGCGTTTCTGACTTCAACGAAAAACATATTGTATAAAATTTATACGAAATTTTCAATTTAAACAAATAATTTTAAATTCAAAATTTGCTTGGAACAATTTTAACTAAATTCATGAATAGATTTTAAGATAAAGATAACTAAATTTTTATCTTACTCGATTGATTGGCAGTAGAAAATCTTTTTGTTGGTAATTTTAGCGATGTTGCACTAAAAACGTTAATAATTCACAAGAAATTTAACACCGAGCAGCATGCAGAATTAAATAAACACGTAACTGAGTATTAGATCACAAAGTGAATTTTAACCTTTGATAAATGAATAAATTAATTAAAATTGGAACAATTAAAAAGTTAAATATGATAAGCATTTTAAAATTTCACTTTTTTTATGTTTTAAAACGATCTTAACACTAAACTTGTTATTTCGCCCGACGAAAGCAAACTGAGAAACTTGCTTTAAGGAACTTGTCTATGGAAATGGTCAACAAAAAATGTGTTGAAAAGTGTGAATACGGGGAAGATGTTGATAGAAAAACTGGTCTTTTCGCGTTTCTGAATTCAACGAAAGACATATTGTACAAAATTTATACGAAATTTTCAATTTAAACAAATAATTTTAAATTCAAAATTTGCTTGGAACAATTTTAACTAAATTCATGAATAGATTTTAAGATAAAGATAACTAAATTTTTATCTTACTCGATTGATTGGCAGTAGAAAATCTTTTTGTTGGTAATTTTAGCGATGTTGCACTAAAAACGTTAATAATTCACAAGAAATTTAACACCGAGCAGCATGCAGAATTAAATAAACCCGGAACTGAGTATTAGATCACACAGTGAATTTTAACGTTTGATAAATGAACAAATTAATTAAAATTGCAACAATTAAAAAGTTAAATAAGATAAAAATTTTAAAATTTCACTTTTTTTATGTTTTAAAACGATCTTAACACTAAACTTGTTACTTCGCCTGAAGAAAGCAAACTGAGAAACTTGCTTTAAGGAACTTGTCTATGGAAATGGTCAACAAAAAATGTGTTGAAAAATGTGAATACGGGGAAGATGTTGATAGAAAAACTGGTCTTTTCGCGTTTCTGAATTCAACGAAAAACATATTGTACAAAATTTATACGAAATTTTCAATTTAAACAAATAATTTTAAATTCAAAATTTGCTTGGAACAATTTTAATTAAAT